AGGACTAGTCTCGCATAACCAGAGTTTTCATTGGCCAAGGACAAACCTTACTGACGTAAAGCAACTAATCATGTTTAAGGGTGTGAAAATGTAATATCGCTGTCCCTACAATAACAGACCGATGCACAATTCACATACTTCACATAAACGCATCGTAAAAAATAGCGGTTTAATAAGATATAGATAAGATTGGCTTGAGAAATGGTCAGATTTGATTCAAGATCAAATTGACAAATAAAAAAAAAGTCAGGGATGGGCAACGATTAATCGCGATTAATCGCATCCAAAATAAAAGTTTGTGTTTACATAATATATGTTTGTGTAGTGTGTATAATTAATTTGTATATATAAATACTCACACATGCATGTATATATTTAAGAAATATGTGCATGTATATATTTTTATTCACAATTAATATTATATATAAATATAAATATTTGATATATTAATAACACATTTTTCTTAGATATTTTCATGCATGTGTGGGTATTTATATATACAAATTAATTATACACAGTACACACACATATATTATGTAAACACAAACTTTTATTTTGGATGCGATTAATCGCGATTAATCGTTGCCCATCCCTATAATTAACTCCTTTATTGACATGATCAGATCATTTACCCTGTCTGAGTGCTGTTTGCATAACCCTTTCTGAGTGAAAACTGGGACCTCACGGACCTCTTAGCTTGCATGTTAACAACCTTTCCTTTGCCTAATTGGAGAACCCGACTCGCCCACACCTTTAAGCCCTTTTGGCCCGTTCCAACAGGTCTCCCCCCTTTTAGTCGCTGGGCTTCAAAGGCTTGTTTTTATGCCCTGAACCTCGTCTCTCCCCAGAGACTGAGGTCTGCTTGGCCTCGGGGGCCTGGAAAGGGCCAGAGAAGTTTTAATGAAAGACGAGAACAGACTGCGTAGAGAAAACACTAAGAAAGTGTGTACAGAGCTGGTCATTATCACAGCACTGAGTGTTGTGCCATATGACTCTCTCAACACTTTGACAGCCTCCTTTTTCTCAAGGGATCGTGCTTGCCCCGTCAGACACCTGTCGCAAGGTCAGAGGGAAATACTGCAACGTCTCAGTCAAATGTATTGATCAGTTGTCTGAAGCAAAGAAGTGGGTTAAATCTGTGTTGAGTTGATACCTAATTGGTTTTTATCAGTATAATTGAGTATTTGGGGCTCAGTCCAGACATCTGTGAATGCCCATCGTTTGATGAAAATATTGGAGTACACTTGATTAAGTGTTGAAACATTATATCTGCTGTGTGTCATTTGTTTTTGAAGTAAATCTCTTAATATTACTTGAGCTAAACGTAAAAGGACCCCTCTTACCTTAGTCTCAGCCTCAGGCATTGCCAAAAATCAGGAATCGCATTTGTATTTGTTAAAGTATTTTTTATATATTGTCCGATACACACTTTACACTCTTTTGTTTTTGATTCCCCAAGTGATTTTAAGTGTGTTTATTTGTGCAATCTGAAAAAACATTAGTCAAATTTATGGCAAATGTTTGACACTGTAACATTTAGATGGAGAGAAACTGACCAGTCAACAAACAGGTTTCATTTCTGTGGTGAAGAAGATTTAAGGCCCTTGCACACTGAGTCCGAAATTTTCGTATGCGTTTTTTTTCGTATTCGTGATTTGGTGGCTCTGAATTGTCAAAAGACCATTCAAACTGCTTGTTTCGGATGCGAAAAACGCAAAAAAATCAAACCCAATTAAAAAATTTTTATGACGGACAAAAGTTTCGGAGGCAGTGTGCAAGCGTGATTGATATAACGTGAGGTCGTATTTATTTTTTAACTTGGCGATATTTTCGGACTCAGTGTGCAATGGCCTTTAGGATCAAAAAATTTGGGATCAGAAAGTTTTTTATTTTAAAGAAACTTTATTTTAAAGAAATTAAGCAGCACAACTGTTTCCAACATTGATGAGAATAAATGTTTCTTAAGCATCAAATCAGTGTATTAGAAAGATTTCTGAAGGATCATGTGTGACACTGAAGACTGGAGTAATGATGCTGAAAATTCATTGAATATAATTACAGTTCAAATTGAATGTAACAGCCAATTAATAGACCAATGATAACAGACATAAAAACTAATAATAGTTTGATTATTTTTTTTTATTTTGATGAGCTGGACATACCTCTATTAGAGGAATAACTTGGCATATGCCTCCAATGACTGGACAGTTGATGAGCCTGGACATCACATCCTTCCAGAGGGATGGATGTCCTGTAGGATGTGTCACTCATCGTGTATGTGAATAGTGTAGCATGATCATAAACTGAGAGGAGCGAGGAAGGGAATGTATAATGATGACCAATAACACGCATATCCTTTATAGCCCACGCCTCTATGATCTTCGATTAGCATTGACTTTACGTCATCCTGCACTGTTCTTCAGACTGAGAAGGGACCTTTAGCTTGGAGGCAGATAAGCATAATGCAGATGCCCTTTGAGATCTATTGTGTAAACCCCTTGTTGATTCTTGATGGAGGAAACAATGTTTGCAGAGAACACAATAAAAGAGCCGATTGTCCCCTCAGACATTAAGGTCAGAAGAAACAAATTAATTTACCAGGGAATGACCAATCAATGTATTCTGTGGTCGATTTTAAATGCCATTGATTGGGGGGTAAAAGAGGTTTGTGTAAAAGAAGCATCAAGAGTAGATGCAAATGACATTGCATTGTTTTTGAAGTATTTTTTTAAATATGTATTAAAAACAAGACCAAGTCAACCAGCTTTGAGATTATTTCTCAGACTGTTCAAATAAAAGACAAAGGTGCACGATATTTTAAAGAGTAAACAATAACTACTCGTCTCATGAAGCATTGAGAATGGCATAATCGAAGAAGCAACTACAAGAGAATATAGAAATGTTAAGTATAATTCATTGTATAGAAGTATAAAGAGATATTAGAATTGTATTGCAGAATATTCAAATGTATACCAATATAAAAGTTGATTGAGAGTGATGGGCTACTGATTCATTCAAAAAACTGGGGTCGGACAGATTTTTTTTAATGTTTTTAAAGGAAGTTTCTTATGCTCACAAAGGCTACAATTATTTAGCACAGTATTATTGTGAAATATTGTTTCAATTTAAATTTCAAATTATTTCAACTTTAGTTTTTAATTCACCCAAACTAATTTTTATTTTAATTTTTAAATATCACTGACCCCAAAACTTTGAATGGTAGTAAGTGCACTCTTTTTGCTGTGCAATTTTTGTATATGCATGCAATCTAGTTTCAGGATAGTGAATTGGGCTGTCAAATGATTAATCGCGATTAATCACATCCAAAATAAAAGTTTGTGTTTACATAATACAATATATGTGGGTGCACTGTGTATAATTATTTTGTATATATATATATATATATATATATATATATATAAAAATACACACACATGCATGTATATTTAAGAAAGAAATTGTGTGTATTTATATATAAAATAATTATACCCAGTGCACCCACATATATTATGTAAACACAAACTTTTATTTTGGATGCGATTAATCATTTGACAGCCCTAATTGTGAGTATTTTATAGTTAAATTCATTTATCTGGTGCACTTTGAGAGTTCCACCCCTTGTTTAGTGTGCAAATTGATCAAAGAAAAAAGTTTGTAATAAGCTAAACCTATTTTTAGTTGTTATATATAGTCTCACTCTACATTACATTTACACTGGTGTTTTAAAAAGCCAATCAAATAGTATATAATAATAATACATTTTTATATTATTATTATTCATATGACAGTAACTACCGTTTCTGTGAAAACAGGTTTACAAACGTCTCATGAAATGCTCTCACCAAAATGTTGGTAAATTATGCAAAATAATGCGTAACTGGTGTCCTCTACATTTTCCAAATTCACACTACTGATAGAGTTCACTGCATTCATTCACTGTAAACTGAGCCTTTCTGAGATGCAAACAGACTGAAAAGAAATCTTACGTCAAAGTGTTTTCTACCTTTCACCATGCCACAGTCTTGGTAATTAATGGGAAACACTGTGGCTGTTGCATTGTTTAATGGCTTTACTTTCTCCTTCTGTGTGTGTATAGAAACTGAACAGTAATGGATGTCCTTACCGCAACAATGTTTGTCTGAACTATGGTCATAGTGGAACCACACACAATTTGTTAACCACACTAAAATGAGATAAAACATGACTATCCTGGATTTTATGTCATCTTTCTCCCTACATTCATCTATCCTTATTTAGGAGAAATCTGCTTGAGCTTTTGGAAAGCTTTCAGTGCTACTATGTATAATGCTTTTATGGCTATGCCAGGAACATCACTATTTTAATTGGCTAGAAGCTTATTGCAGTTGGGAGACACTTGTGGCAAAACAAAATGAATTGCTGGAAGTTAAAACATTTAGGCCTGTTAGCTGCACACGGTTGGTGATCGTCTCCAACAGTGAGAATCATCTCCAGGTAATTAGCCAGGAATGCTGTTTCTAATAAATTATTCATGACCTCAGAGACACTAATCAAGATTAGTAGCACCGAGCCTAACAGGCAAAATGCAATCAGTTTGGCGTCGAACAATAAAGAGCAATTTACCAAGCAACAAATCTTATAAGTTACAACAGCCATTAATATTTCACCTGCTTCAGTAGTGGGTTTAGTTTGATTAAAGCTAGTGTGAGGCTCATTCCGTCCCTGTTCATTTCGTTACTGAAGCTGCAAAGTGAAAAATTCACGCACATGCTGTTTCCGAGTAGTGCACCACAGGGAATGCCATCAATAATGAATCCTCAATCTCGTCGCACTCCAAGATTCGTACTTACAACTTGCCCTGTGCCAAGCTCTCCTCTGAGTCTTGAGTGTGGAGGAGTGCTGCTTTTCCTCTGTCTTACAGTACATGTTTTATTACGCTTTTGTGGATATGGATTTGCTTTTCTGTTTGTTTGGTGCCTTTAAATATATGCCATGACCTCTGGTTGTGTTTCTTTTCACAGCTAATAATAACAGACGGAAAGAGAGAGAGCATAGACGCAATATCGTTTGACCTGAATCCTGAACTACATCAAAGAACTCATGGTAGGTGCTTTTGCTTATTAACATAGACAGTCTGTGTGTTCTTAAAGGGAAAGTTCAACAAAATGAAAACCCTGTCGTTATGTACTCGGTTCTAAACTTTATGCCATACACATTTGTGTCCTCATAAACCCTATGTACAAGTGCACACATACACTCACAGTGTACACACAAAATATACAAAGTGTACACCAATTTTCTTTGTGAATGAATAATGTCTCATAAATAAATAAATGTTTTTCCTTAAAATACAGGGTGCATAAGTCAGGGCACCCCTATGTTAAATTCCCATAGAGTCAGGCAGATTTTTATTTTTAAAAGCCAGTTATTTCATGGATCCAGGATAATATGCATCCTGATAAAGTTCCCTTGGCCTTTGGAATTAAAATATCCCCACATCATCACACACCTTCCACCACACCTAGAGATTGGCATGGGGTACTTTCCATAAGATCATCTTTCAATGCAAATCAAACCAGCTATTAGGCTAACTGAAGTAAAACCATGCCAATCTCTAGGTGTGGTGAATGGTGTGTGATGATGTGGGGATATTTTAATCCCAAAGGCCAAGGGAACTTTATCAGGATGCATATTATCCTGGATCCATGAAATAACTGGCTTTTAAAAATAAAAATCTGCCTGACTCTATGGGAATTTAACATAGGGGTGTCTTGACTTATGCACCCTGTATTTTAAGGAAAAACATTTATTTATTCATGATGCATTATTCATTCACAAAGAAAATTTGTGTCCTTAAAGGTTGGAGTTTTCCTCATTTTTCTAATTAAGGCATTAAGATCAATATCCAAAAGATGATTTTTATTCCTCTTTTTAGGCAACTTTAGCATGGGTGTCCAAACTTATTCACACCACTGTATAGATGTGAAAGCAGTTACTATTAGCCTATGTGACAATAAAATTAGTTTTATTTAAAATCAACAAATAATCATGATAATTAATCGCGATCTCAATATTGATCTAAATAATCGTGATAATCATTTTGCCCCAAAACGTGCAGCCCTACTGTCCATTAAACTTGTTGACTAAATGACACATCTTCTGAAATCATTCCATATCTCTTTGTAAATAAAAGACTGAAATATTTCCAGTTTTCTACAAGATTTCACTCTCTGCATATTCAAACACAATGGTATTTGGTGTCAAAGAAAATCTTCACACACGTGACATATGACTTCAAGAGACTCTTACGGACTATATTTATGGTTCTTTTATCATTTTTCGAGTTTGACAGATATTGCCAAATTGTGTAGGGAAAAATGCAAATAATGATTCTTCAGAATTTATTGTTCCTTTTAACCATGCCTCCAAAAATGCAAATTTAGTTTGTGTATTCTGCATTATGTACATACTCGCTTTGTGCTTAGGAATGTCTTTCTCTTCACCACTATGATAATCATAATCGATACTTGAGATCGATGAGATTTGGCCATACATATTAATTGCTTTGTAAATTCATCAGTCAATACAACATGAATCCAATCCATGCACATGCAAGTCATTTTGCAGCCTTGTCCACACAGTACACTTTTCATACAGCATATCCAGCAGATAGTTTCATTAAACAAAAAAATGCTTCACAAAAATGGAGTGGAAATGCAGTGAAATCATCTTGTTGACAGCGTTGTTTGGCTGGCGGAGGGCTGTTGGTGCACAAAGCCATTGTGACACTGTCAGCAGCAGGGAGGTGATTGTCTTATACTGAAGCAGAATCTATTATTTCTCTCTGTCATGGCTGGGAGCCGGTCTTTGTGGGGAACTGATTTGCATAAAAATTCAGAGCATTGCGATTCCACACACACATACCAACAGCAACACACATACTCAAAGTTAAAGGTCTCGCTGACAGAGATGCATCAACCGCTCCGTTCACCCCATGAAAGCCCACCCTCAAATGCCAAATAAGCAAAATGTTGATGAAGATTTGTGGTTCGACTTTTATTTATGCCCTTTGTGCCGTTTAAGTTGCTTTGGTAAAGAAAGCATCTGCAAAGATGGAAATGAATATCGGCTATCTTGTGCTTACTGCAATTTGTAGATGCTACAAACACAGTTTCTCAAGTTAAACTGATGGTGCTTTAACAGATAGTTTTTATAACTCTCCATAATAATGATCTGCACACCATCCATCTATAACAATGCTTTTTTCGAGTGGCCACTTCAAGCGCAGAGTCTGATGCTGTGTAATGGCGCCTGCAATTTATGAATTTGCGCATCAATATTTTCACTTTGATCATGTGTTCACTTTATACATTAGACTGAAGAAGCTCAGTGTACATTTAATTATGATTCTCTGAGATGTGTCAGGGGAAAAGCAAGGGGAAGTTATGCTGTATATTGTAGGTACTGCGTGGTATGATTCGGCATGGCTCGACTCGACTCGCTTTGCTTTGGCTCGGTTTGCTTTTCCACTGCAGTTTAGTACCGCTTCAAAGTGGGTGAGATTATAGACCGATCATTACAGTTCTCTTCTATTGACCACGATACAGAAATTTCTTTTTTCAAGTTGTGCAAACAAATGATTCAAATGAAGCTATATTTTGGGCGGCAGTGGCTCAGTGGTTCATGTAGGTTGTCTACAAACCAGAAAGGTTGGTGATTCAATCCCCGGTTCCACCTGACCAAGTGTCAAGGTGTTCTTGAGCAAAATGCCCAATAGACACAAAGGGGCCTAAAGTGTGTCAAGAAAACATCCCCCATTACACCACCACCACCAGTCTGCACAGTGGGAACAAGGCATGATGGATCCATGTTCTCATTCTGTTTACGCCAAATTCTGACTCGACCATCTGAATGTCTCAACAGAAATCGAGACTCATCAGACCAGGCAACATTTTTACAGTCTCCAATTTTGGTGAGCTCTTGTAAACTGTAGCCTCTTTTCCCTATTTGTAGTGGAGATGAGTGGTACCCGGTGGGGTCTTCTGCTGTTGTAGTCCATCCGCCTCAAAGTTGTGTGTGTTATGGCTTCACAAATGCTTTGCTGCATACCTCGGTTGTAACGAGTGGTTATTTCAGTCAAAGTTGCTCTTCTATCAGCTTGAATCAGTCGGCCCATTCTCCTCTGACCTCTCGCATCAACAAGGCATTTTCGCCCACAGGACTGCCACACACTTGATGTTTTTCCCTTTTCACACCATTCTTTGTAAACCCTAGAAATGGTTGTGCGTGAAAATCCCAGTAACTGAGCAGATTGTGAAATACTCAGACACCAACAACCATGCCACGCTCAAAATTGCTTAAATCCCCTTTCTTCCCCATTCTGACATTCAGTTTGGAGTTCAGGAGTTTGTCTTGACCAGGACCACACCCCTAAATGCACTGAAGCAACTGCCATGTGATTAGTTGATTAGATCATTGAATTAATGATAATTTGAACAGGTTTTCCTATAATTCTTTAGGTGAGTGTATATGTTCAAGAGGATAATTTGCTTTAATGATGTCAGTGAATTAAAAAACCGAATAAAACATTTAATCCTCTTTATTGTGTAATGGGTGTACACTGGAGATTCTGGGAGCAGTAAGTCTGTATGATGAAAAGTATTTTCTGTGAGCTCTTTGTCTCTTGAGAAGCACATGATTTCTCTTAATATGTTTATTGTGGCACAGATGCTTCAAAAATGTAATGTTTCCTAAAGGAATGCTTCCTCCTAATAGAATAATTGTACATTTCCATACCATAATGCATACCAAGACTAAATTCCCCTGTATATTCTAATAACTATATCACTGTCACCTTCTGCCTGCAATTATGTTTATGGCTGTCATCACCAAACATATGCACTAAGGGACTGATTCAACACGGAGCGTCAACAAACTCCATATTTCACGGCAGACCAGAGGTCCACCTCCAGATGGCATGTTTGACAGGCCTGTGAGTGATCACTCATTAGACAAATGCTAGTCCAAGCTGTGCTCCATCTGCAGAAGGCTGCTGCTTTCTGTGTTTGCTCTGACAGGAACTGTGTTAAGTGGGAACGCCAGACACCCGTCTAGAAAACAAAGAGCTGTCCACCTATCCCAACCCTCACCATTTCAACTTAGATGGGGGAATCTCTCATAAAAATATGATGAAATCCCTCCAAGTTTGAAGTCATATTTATGTCCCAGCTAACAGGGAATGTTCTCAGGACTTTGGCTAACATTCTGGCAAGGTCCTTTCAATGTTATGAACAAAAATTCTTCCAGTGACATTAAATCAAATGTTCATTCAAATGAAGAGAGCTCCGGTCAATTTTAACATTGAGCTATTTTTATTTTTATTTTTTTTACATTTGTAGTGCTGTTAGTACAGACAAAAACGACAAAAATCTGTGTTTCCTACACCGTGTTATCCTCTTTTTAAAATTCGCACCCTATTGACTTCAATAGGGCATTGACTACTGTAGGCTTAGACCAAAAACAGGAAGTAAACACTGGTATGTTAGCTGGCTAAATTAACATCATTTTTATTCATATTTTTCACATCTACTGCAGTCAGATTGACCGTGGTCACTCTTAATAACGCCACTCACATGTCTGTGCACTCGTAATGGCAAATCGAGGATGTTAAGAGGCTAAAAGCAGGTTTAGAACATGCCCCATTGAAGTCAATAGGGTACACATTTTAAAAAGACGATAACACGGTTTAGGCAACACAGATTTTTGTAGTTTTTGTCTGTACTGACAGTGACAGCACTCCAAGTGTACATAAATTGAGCTCAATGTTAAAATTGAATAGAGTTCTCCTTTTATGTTCCCAAAACATTAGCACAAAAACATTCATTTTTCAGGGAATCTTTTTTTCTAAAATGTTTTAGTTGGATGTTCATCTAACATTTTTAAATGTCACTGTTTAGAAAACATAAAAATAAAAAAAAGGTTTTCGGAATGTTTATAAAATGATCAAATGGAATGCTCATTTAAAAAAATGGATGTTTTGACCATTCAAGGAATATTCACAAATAACTTTTTTTATAACTTAACAGGAATGTTAACAAAATGTT